TATGCTCCTAAAATGCCTTGTGACATAATGAGCACTCCACAGGGGAGCAAAACACACACATACCAAAGAAAGGTGACACCGGTTGTTCTCTGCTCCGTAAGGACATCCTTCTGATTGTCAGCTCCTCTTCCAACAGAAATAGTATTGACCTGCCAAATCACAAGTCATGCAAAGTGCCAAGCACAGCAAACATGTCTGCTTTAGGGCCTAAGGAGGCGACAGGGGCAGCAGAGATGTCCAACATGAGGGAATAGCTCAGGTACCCACAGGTTCAAATCTTTCTTGACTTCAATACACCAGTCATGCATTTTTCATGAATGACACTGGTGTGCAAGTTTGAGCTGGCACTATCCAAATGCCCAACCAACAGCAGGTTGTTGGTGGCCTGTTTTGCTAATTACAGTGGCCTGTTTTGCTAAAGAAATTGTGGACCGTAGTGCCTGAATTCAAAAAGGAAYAGCATCTAGGAAAAGACCTTTGGTCTCTGTGGATTCCCATGGCTTTCCACAGCACCCTAATCCTTTCTCAGTGTCTTCTGCAATTCTGCTTCGGAATAAGAATCTCTGATTTCTTTCCTTCTGCTGATCTTAAGGGTAGCTTATGCCTCTTTCTGCCTCTGCTCTCCAGTTCCCTCTGACCTTTGGCTTACGTGTATCCTCATCTTTCCACCCTAGTTGCTTTTGCCTCTAGCATGGTATCTTTGTAGCTGTTCAGTCTGTCCATCCTTTGCGCAGCTGTGTGCTCCTCTGACCCCCTTTTGTTTTCTATGAATTCTGTATCCCTTTTCACTCTGTCCCACAATGCTGCATTTTGAGCTGTATCATATGAATATAGACTACATTTTGACCATTGCCTCTGCTTTGCACAGAGCTGCTTGGTGAGAGCCCACTCAGGAGCAGAATAAGCTACTAAGATGAAGTCAAAGGAGTCAGTTGTGTGAATTGCACTGCATCCCGGCCTTTGGTTGAGCCACTCGTTAGCTCCTCTCTTGCCATTTCCTTCTGCTGCTGTTCTAATCTCTCTGCCCTTCTAGCTATAAATGTTTCCCAAATGAGATTTACAGAGATGGATTAAATCTGCACTTTCTGACCACTTAATTTTTCCATGAAAATCTTTGGACATAACCAGTTGCTGAGGTGTCAAAGAAGAATMTTCCCATCTGTCTGTAACGCAGTCACCAACAGATCCACCACAGCTGAGGCTTGCTGCAGGTTTGCCTTTGCTTGCTCTGTGCAATTAGAGAAGTGGCAAATTATATATGCTGGCTGAGGAAAAAGTTATGATTAAGGAGAGTAGGCAGGTGAAGAAGGAGTTCCCCCTGAACCCATATTAGATGCTCCTTGAGCATTTTAGGTGAGACACAGAAAAAAAAAAATGGGTTCAGCAGTCTTTAGATCAAACACTCAAGACCTTTCCCAGGCCAGATTGAACCTGTTTGGGGGCCCTGCAGCTTTTGCGTATCAGCTGTGTACATACAGGAATATTGTTGTTTAGGCTCACACTTTGGCTCAACAAAAGGCCTGTTGTGTGTGCGCACAGTGAGTAATTTTCAAATGCTCGTAACTTTCTCAAATCACAACCAATTTTCACAGGAGCTACATGCTGCAGTGCTCCTTTCTGAAGGTTGTTCTATGCAAAATATTAGCTTGAAGACTTTGGTAGTTTCACTAGTTGTTTTGTAACCTCAAAGATTTTAAAAAATAAATGAAAGATAAAATCCCACTTTCTTTTTTTTCCTTCACTCTTCTTGTAGTCAGAATTAGATATAATTTTGTTCTTTTTTTTTTATTTCTACAACTCTTTTTCTGAGGAGGGCTCAGTTCGAATCCTAGTGACACCTTCCTAACGTCAGAAAGACTGCGCCCAGCAATGTCTTCCCTGTTCTGTGACGAGATTTAGCCCTTGTAAGGCTGTTAATTCCCTCCTTCTGGGATATGCTTGTGGGAGATAGGAGCTCAGGCAGGACTGCCGTGGTCAGGGAACCTCATCAAGCCCGGAACAACATGGGAACAAAAAGGATGTTCAAGAACAAGCCACAGGCCAGACGATCTGGTATGGAGGGACATAAGTGGCTTCTGAACTAAAGGATTGTATATCCCTTTCCTTTAATAAAACTTTTAAGTGAACTCTGTTAAACCGAGAACAACAACCAGTTGCTGAAAATTTTATCCTTAGCATTTCATCCAATTCCAAGTTTGCCCTTTCCCATCCTTCAGCGTCATGTCTATGTAGTCTGACACAAGTGCTGGTAAATCAATGTCAGTTCCTTGTTTACTATATTCATTCTAATATCAAACCCACTTTAGAGTGTTTGGTAATTGATAATATTGTCATCAGTAGTAAAGGGGGAAGATTGTTCCAATTTAACTAACATCTTGTTAACAGAATAGACATTATTGTGTGACATACATATACATTATCTAGGGAAAATCAATTAAGAGCAAAAATATGTGATTAAAACATAATGTAAAATTATTATAAGCTTAAGCACACTGCAGTAAGAATGCTTTCAAACCTGTAAGACTGTAGCAGTTTTAAATTATTTTTTTGAACCTCATCCCTACCATGAAGATTGAGTGTCAGGTACTTTTTTTTTCCTCCTGCAGGATTTCAAGACTTGATTGCCCAAATGACAGTTTACTTGTTTTACTGTCACATACTTTTGTGAAATGCCATAACAAGTTGATTACAGGTTTCACATTTTGCATAGTGACAAAATCGTCTGTCATATAATAGTCTGATGCCTGAAAGCCATTTAACTAAGAAGCAGTTTCTACTGAAAATAATGATATTTGAAGCATTAAGATGGGTTTAAATGTGTACATTTTTAAAATAAGTCTTTGTTTTAACTGAACAAGAACACCAATATTATCCCTTTTAGACATTAATTTTAAGACTCCTACCTACATACGCTGGAGAGCTGAGACACATCATGTGCCCTGGCTACTCAAGAGAAAAATAGGCTATCTTTGCCTACTGTGCAGAGTTATTTGTTCACTGTGGCTGAACTCCACACCTCTTAGGCAACTTTACTGTGAACTGGCATTATTGAGAAGGATAAGATTTACCTTCCTCATTTGACATCACCCATCATCCATACCTCAGGTGAGATATCAGTAGTAACAGTAATAAGGATAATGCATTCGTTTAACATAGTTTCTTGATTTTCAGTGACTGAATTTTGTAAAGAATGTGATGTTACCATTTTTACCTAGCCATACTACCTAGATGAGGAATTTTCCAAGGGATGTTTTATTGATAATGAGTAGATGAAGTCCAGCTTCTATCTGCATGCAGGTGAACGGTCAAGGAGTTATCCATCTGTGAAGGGAACAGGATAGGGAAGCTCAAGCTGTTAGACTGAAGGAGCCATGTATCCCCAGCCCTCTAAAACTTTGTACCTACCATTATGAATGGTAGTGGAGAAAATCAGAATATTARCAGAACATGGGACAAGTTCTGAACCTCTCGAGAGACACTCATCTGACTTTGTGCAGTGTGAGTAGGCACAGGCCTCTCCATCAGCAGAGCAGTGTCCCAGGACACCTTTGACCTTCCCTGCTGCCACAGGAAACATGCTAAATCATTGCTGAACATGTTACCCTGCCAAACCGTAAAACAGCAAGGTTGCAACAACTCTGGGAATTCCTAGAAAACTCCAGAGTCCAGTGGAATGAATAGGAAAGGCTTTACTCTCCATGTTGTCTCGTGTCACACAGTGGCAGGATTACAAGRAGAAATGACTTCCTGGAGGCTCACTTACCATTGCTCTCTGTGGACATCATTTGCGCAATGTTTTTCTTAATTATCACTATAATGTTCTGTGCTTTTATTAGCCCATCTGGAAACAAGAGGCTAATAATGCTATTACTACTTTATTTTTAGTCGATGTTTTCCCATTTGTGGATGTTAAAGCACTGTATAGGTAAATGAATATTATTGATCCTGTGTTTCAGTTGCTCTAAGCGCTGAGATTTGAAACACTTCATATTCTAGGTACTTTGGTCATTCACTTAGTAGATTTTCCTTATCTGTCTCCTATAAACTTGTGTAACCTTTAGCAAGTCACTTAAACATTCTGCTTCTCGTGTACCTCATCTGGAAAATGAATGTGTGCTCATATCGCCTAGGGCAAAGAAACACACAGGAGGAATCATCTTCCTAGAGCTGGAAATTCCTCCTGCTTTTAAAATTGACCTAGGTGGAGGTCATATGTTTTTACCTTTTTTTATTATTATTATTTGTTGCAATAGAATCAAATATTTTTTCCCATTAGCAACACTTTTTAAAATATTCTAGCATTAATATCCTTGAAAATTTTCTTTTGCACTAGCTAGGGTCAAAAACTTATTTCCATTTCTTAGGTTTTGATTTTTTTTGGATTGCACTGAGGTACAAAAAAGTAAGAAGCTCATTTTTTAAAAGAAGTCATTTTAAATTATTTAASTTATGAAAAAGAATGACTATGTTTTATGAAAACTTTTTCATTATCATTGAACCTAAAATCATGGCATTTGAAAACCACCAAGTTATTTGCTTTCATGATGAAATTGTGGCAGAAATATGATTACAGTCCTAGAAATGGAGGAAAAAAAAAAATATCCCTACAGGGAAAGGGAATGAAGATTTTTCTTCTAAAAGAAAAAAGAAAGTGTGAGAAAAAAAAAAAAAAAAGGAACCTTTATATTGCACCTGTGGAGAAAACATGCTACCATCTGAACTGATGGAAGAGTCTTAGTAGGTATCAGCAATAACTAAACATTTATATTCCTTATAGACTGCAACCCGTCAAAAGAGGGCACTGTCTTCATATATACACAGAATATCTGAAATCAGTGGCAGCAGTTCTTATTGATGTCTGAGGATGCACAGATTTAAAGCCAGTAAAGCAAATTTGTCTCCTCTCCCAGGTGCCTGGGTCACGATGCAGATGCACTCCGGCAAGCTTCTTCTCCCGGAGTCCAGAGAACTGGTGCACTGGTGCCAAAAGAACAAACTGTGGAAGGTTGCTCATAGCTAGTGCAGTGTCACTTTGTCACACATGAAAATTAATGGGCTCTACAAAGGGTGAAAGGTAAGAGGGAAATAGAAAAGAAATGCAAGAGACCTAATGCAACACACTTCCTTTACTCTGACCTTTGTAAACATTTTCCATAAAGAGTGAAGCACTCTTTAAAAAAAAAAAAGTTTTTGTTTGTTTGTTTGTTTGTTTTCCCTCCTGGTCACAGGATTAGACTTGAGATCAGACTCCTAATCAGAATAACTAACTAACTAACTAAATAAATAAATAAATAGATAGATAAAACCCTTAATTTATCTGTTTATAACTTTTTGAAAGCTTTTTAGGCAGTTTTTTACAGTTGACAAGAAGAGCTTTTTTAACCCAGCTTGGCCTTTTGCCAGAGGTCACAGGTGCTCCCTGGGCTGATTTCTGGTTGAACTAAAATTGTGGGGGAAACAGAGATTCCAGAAGAAGRAAACATTTCGTAATCTGTTCCAAAGATTCAATGCAACGTATAATAYTAAAAACGAGCATTTTAGTTCTAGTCTAAAACTGTGCTAGTTCCATGCTTTTCAATGGCTGCTTTTTGCTGGATCTTTGTCTGCTAAACTGAAGGGTTCTTTTTAAAATTTGAGAAAAGTTTTATTCTTTCTATAAACTTGCCTGGACCATTCCTATGTCCATCTGTTGTATTCCTTGTGATAACCTACGGAGTTTGGTCTCCCAAGGCTATATTGCAAAGTGTTTTCCAACCCTCTAATTATTCTCATATTCTCACAGTTTCATTTCTTGAAACCTCTGTCAATTGCAGAAAAGTGAATTGAATACAATATATTAGTAATGCCTGTACTACTATCAAATGCCAAAATCCTAGTAGCCTTTTTGCTTACATCATCAAGAGGAGAGGTCCTGTCCAACTGTGCATCTTTCATGATCCCTAAGGGCTTTTTTTTCTGGGTCTCTTTCCCAGGATAGATTCCTCCATCTGTTAGCTATGAATTATATTCCTTGTTCTTGGCTGTGTGATTTCGCATTCTGCCATACTTGGACAGATACATTTCTCTGTGCTCAGCTTACCAAGCAACCTTAACTGCACAAAAGAGGACAGTAGCCAGTCCTCTTTACTATGAGGCATTCAGTCCTTTCAATCCTTTTTTTTTTTTTTTTTTTTCAATTTCATATAGCTTACTCATGGCAATTTCATTTTTCCTTCCATGTAAAAATAATTAAAATGGTAAATATTACAAGGCGCGATTGGCACATTCAGTGGTTGTTTTACACCTCAAATTGCATTTTGAGACGTATTAGCTAGCTACTTTTAAACTCATTTGTTATGCTCCAAGTTGATTTTTCATCACTCCAGTTTCTTAATCAGATGGTCATCAAAGTGAGCTCACAAAAGTCTAAACATTTTACACCAGCACAATTACCTTCATCATCCAAAGTTTGTAATCTCATCAATAAAAGCCATCAAGTTAGCTTGACAAGATCTGCTTTCCATAAACTCATGTTGATCAGCATTAATTATATTATCCTCCTTTAATTCTTTATTAATTGAGTCTTATGTCAGCTCTTTCATCATTTTGCTTGGGATCAATGTTAGACTGACAGATATATAATTGCCCAGGTCATCTCATTTACCCCTCTAAAATATTGGCAAAACATTAGCTTTCCTCTTCTCCTCTGAGGCTTTCTTTGTGCTCCAATTCTTATTGAAAATCAACATTAATAGTCCAGAGAATTTCTTTGCCTGTTTTTTTTTTTTCTTCTGAAACTCCTCAATGAAAATAATGAAAATTATTTGGACCTTTTTGGTTTGGAAAATGTGTGCCTTTAATTCTCTGGAGCAACTACTGGAACAGAAAGTGCTTCAGCATCACCTTGTGATAAAATTACTACTTTTTCCCCTGCTAAACGCACATCAGAGCTATGCATTGAATATCTGTGGCTTACCTGCATTATTACTCTTTATTCTGTGATTCCCAGCTGCTAATACAAAACTCATACTGCTTTCCTCATTTTATTTAATATACTTAAAAAAAACCCAGTCTCTCCTCCTAAAGACCTGAACAGCCTTGGCAGCTCTTAATCACCTTTTCAGTGTCATCATTGATTCATCTTGATTTACCTGGATCTGTTGAGTTCCATTATAAAATGACTGTGTATTATTTTACATTGTTTCCTTTATCTACTTTCTGCAGTTCCTTCTTCAATGTACTTTGAATGCATACAATGTATATTCGTGCAGGGTGGGTTTTTTTTTTTTTTTTTTTTGACATGGTCCTTAGTTTTTGTCAGTTCCTCTGAGATCAATTCATTTAAAGAAATATATACACAGTTATGATTGGTCTTTGTTCTTTGTTCTCTTTGCAAGTAACAAATCTAGGAGTATTCATGTACGTGACCCCTAGTTCTTAACTGGTAAGATGAGGTCTAGTATAAAGTAACCCTCTGTTAGATGCAACACTTCTTGAATTAGAAAGGCCCCCCTTTCACCTTTTAAAATTCAAAATAAATTTCAGAAATTCTTCAGTGTATGTTGCTTAGACTGGAGTCCCTCTGATACCAAAACTTCTTATTCCTCCAACATTTTACACAGGTAGTCAGCTCGGCATCTGCTTTACCTCTGTGATATGGTAACTCATGGCAAATTCCAGCTGATACTTCATTCTCTGTAAGTTAAATATTCACCCATAATCCTTCAGTATTGATTGCTTCTGTATTATCAGCACTTGGAGAAAGGTAATGCCATTTTTGAGATGAAGTGTAATTTTTCTCTTTTCCTCCCTGTTTGATTTTTCCTAACTAGATTACAACTGGAGATTCCAACATTCAACATGCTACATGCAGGTTGTCCAATCAAGTCTCAGTAATACCAGTGAGGAGAAATTCATGTGCATAAAGGTCCAATTCTCGGTTACTAGCCAGGTTCCTAGCCCCAGACTATAGACAATTAAAGACAAAGACTATAGACAATCTATCTTGTTACCTCTAACCCATTCCATCATATTCTTCTTCTTTAGACTCTTGAAAATAAATCATGCTGTTTCTAACATGTAACACTCACAAAACATTGAGACACAACTAAACTTACAAATGAGCAGTCACCTTTTAGCACTGTTGCCTGATTTCAGCATCTCCAGTTCTTTTCGTAGGTATCGTCTTCCAAGACATGCTGTAAAATCTAGAGTTTCTCTGAAGAGAAATTCTTCAGAACTTCAGATTTTGCCTTAAAAGTGTACTATGAAATGATTGATACATTTAGGCATTCAAAATTAAACATTAAAATGGCTAAAACATTAAATAGCTGTGTTCTTTAAAGTCCTATTTTGTGTATCCTGTTAAGATTTATTACAGATTTTTTTCAGTTGCTCTTAAATGCACTGCAGATTTCAAAGTGATTTAATTTCATTTTTTTTTTTCTTTAGCTGTGGCAGATGTCAACTCTCTCAGTTTTCTTACAATTAATGTGCTTTCCAATTTTTCATGTTCTGCCTTAAGGTTAGATTTGAACTAGAAAGGTTTGTCAAYTCCTGCAACCACGGGAGCTGAGGCTTTAGTGTAGTAGTTCCTACATTTTGTCATTTTTCTTTAGGATTTGTTGTTTCTCCCTTCTCCATATGCCCCTTTCTGATGTTCAAGAATCTGACTCTCAAGAAAATGTGGTAGGTGATGGCGATACAATGGTAAATAGTACTTTCTAGAAACATCATTTATTTCTGAGTGTGTTAAATTCTGTAAAAGAACTGTCTCTTCCTCGGCAATTTTTTTAAACATTGTGGCATGATTTGTTACTCATTAGGAAGATTCCACATAAAATAAATAATCCAGAGTAAGACTGTATTCTCCAATCACATTTTATTCTGGTTCCTGTTGTTCCATTCCTTTTCTTTATCACTTTTTCTTCAGCTGTTTTACTCGATGACACAGTTCTTTTCACACATATTGACTCACTTTCTTTCTGCTCTCACTACCTGGAGGTGTTGCTTCTGTCGCTGAACTTTCTTCACTTCACTGAGATTCCTTCCTCACAAACTCTGTGGTTCATTTACAGATAATTCGTGCAGAAAACTCCCAAGGTTGACTTTTTGTTACTTTAAGGATTTTTTCCCATTAATTTGTGCTTTTTTTCTTGGCGTATAAAACAGGGTTAGAGCACTCGGATCACCTGACAGAACTGGGGAAAAAATTCTGCAGCTATGTTCAGCATTTTAGCCTGTGGCTACAGGCTAAAATTGGATTTTTTTTTTCCACTTGTGCTATCTTCTTATTGTACTATTTTGTTTAAAAAACAAACAACCATTGTTTTTGAAATCAATTAGCTCGAGATGTAGAGGTGTCTCTTAAAAAATGGACTATTATGAACATACTCAGTTACAATGTYTTCACAGCTATGCCTTTTCTGTGACCAACAAGAAACATTTTGTTATTTTCTCTTTAGACTTCCAGACTATAAGTTGCTCAGTTTCCCTGATCTAAGTACTTAAAGTAACAGTAGAGTAGCAGTAGAGTAGTAAGAAAAAACCCTTAAAAGTTCTGTGGTTTCCAAATTTTGGTAATCTGTCTTGACCTGTGAGAGGAAACCAGCTGTTTTAAGATGCCAATGAATATGGAGGAGAATACAACCAAGACATGAAGATATTTCATCCATACACTTTTGGCATTACTAGGCTTTCCTATTATAAGTGGTTCTGAGACTGTATGCTACTTGATTCCATTTTTTAATTATCTAAAAATGAGATGGGAAATGAAATGAAAATGAAAAAAAGAAGTATCAGAAGTGAAAACATAAGATGTAAAACTTCATTTTTCTCCTTATAGTAAGAAACTTCTCCAGCAAATATGCAAAGTAATAATGTTATAACATAAGAATAAACAATCTTGTTCTCCATGCCCTCTGCAAACTATGTTATTAAAGCAGCTTTCATTTCATCAAACAAGATTCTAGGCATGGATAGAGCTGACTGGGATAATGCAAATCATACCGAATAAAGGAATATGATCAATGTTACATTATTTTTTAACACCAGTTTGTATCAAGTGAATTCATTTCTTTCTAAATTTCCCTGCTTTGTCTCTCCCTGATGCAATTAGTTTGGGTGATTCCCTCAAGGTGATCTCTTTACAGCATATATATGACAGTCACCATCTTGATCAACACACTGGGTCTTTTAAGACTTATACCTTAACCAGAAGCAAATACAATCCATAAGACTATAGACTTCCCTGTCGCCCCTCATAACCCGTGCAAATCTACTGCAGATGCCACACTGCATGCAATAGGTTTATGGGTGCCTGAAGCACACTGCAGTTGCAGCTCTCACACAGGCAGCGAAAACTCTTTTGTATTTTACTGCACAGCCCCTTTTCTATYCTGTTTATTTCTGTTAAAGCATGCCCATCCTTTTTTTTTTAACCAATTTTGCAGCAAGATGATTAACACCTTCATGTAGTTGGAAGCATAGAAGTTCTGCTTGTGTTATGGGTGTGACTTTTTGAGGTAAACTCTTCTACAATTTCACAGGCACAGAAGTTAGCACCATCTTCCTTGGGTCATGGGTTAGCTCAGCTTTTGGGTTAGCTCAGCTGAAGCACTAGCAAAAGGATAAGAAGACTTTTCATGGAATAGGCTAACAGCAAAWTTTGGCACTGACTCTAATTCTGTTAAGAGAAATGAAGATACAGTCTGTGTCCCATAAAAGCACACTATCTGCTGGGATTTTGGGACCAAATAGAAAAAGTTCAATTGTGGCTGTGTTGAAAAGCCTAATTTCATCTGTATATGTTTTGTTTTGTTCTTTTTGTTAGTAAAAATGGAGTATGTAGATGCAGGCTAGAAWAYAGAAAWAKRAKT